TTTCCCCTTGCATTCGTGCACTGAATGTCTGAGGAAAGTGCCGTATGGAGTCTACTGTAAATGTGTGTTGAGTGACTCCCTGCTGTAGGCAGGGTTTTACTGATCGCTGCTGAAATCCTACTGAAGCAGTGGCTGTTAACAGACTGCTGCTTGCACTGCCATGTCTATGCCAGACATAGTTGAAAGCATTAGTAGAAATCTCAGTGCCAACTGTGATGGAAGCTCTCCTGTAGACAAAACTCAGTTTTTGGTAACGGGCACTGTTCAAATATAGCTGATTCTCTGAAAGCCACAGGAACCAACCTGTACCAGATTATCATCTACAAAGACAAGGGATGAATGTTTAGTAGCAACTGTTTGCAGTTTTCCAGGAAAAATAATATAGTTCTTGCTGTAACGCCCCACTTGGATTGGCAGTATATAGTGTCCTTAATAGCAATACGATCATTGAAGATACTTTTTAGGGCCCTTAAGTTGAAGCTTGTGATCCTTGCCTTTCTTTATCCGCTTTCAATGATGCTTGGCTGTATCTTCCCTGTTTTGGTGTAGAGATCTCTTTCTGTATGTCATTTTCAATAGGTTTTCCCCCTTTGTTCCTCACGCCTAAGCAATTATTTCTTTTCCCATGTCTGCCTTTTTGCTTCATGTTTTCTATGATACTTAGTGGGAATAAGTCCTGGTATGTGTTTTTTGGGCTTTATACTCTGTAAAATAAAGAATTCCAACTTTTTTTTTACTTACTCAAAATTTTCTTTAGTTGTGTACCTTTGATATTTCATTAGCCTTTTAGAAAATCCCAGTTTTACCTCACAGAAGGAAATTTCTCTGTCTGATTTTCTGTGTAGATTTTAGTGCATCTTAAATTGGAAGAGAAAAAAATATTAGTGGTAACTGAATTATTCCTGGTCCCCAGCACAGCTTAGAGCATTGTCATAGTGAGAAATGTATCCTAGTAGCTTCTTTTTTTCAGCTTTATTTGTACTAGTTAGTTTGACTAAAATGTGAGTGCCCTTTTCAGACATTCATAGGCTGTAGAGGAGAAGGTCTGTGTTCCTCCTCATGGATGCTACTGAGAGAGGCCAGGCTGGCCTTGCATTCTTGCTGTTTTCCTTCTGCACCTCTCTAGTGTTTACAGAAAACCATCTATGTCTCTTGCAGTTACTGTTTAGCAGGTGTGAGATAGAGTTGAAGAATTCAAAACATTCAAAACATATTGGGCATAAAAAAATCACATTCTCAGACCTTCAGGGTTCTGCAGTGATGGAGCTCTGACCATTGTACTTGATACACACAAAAGGGAAGTTGGATATGTGTGTAGGTAATGCATATAACTTAAACACGGGCACCTTAGAAACAGTATTTATGCTGCAGGAACAAAGACAACTTGATTAATATTTCTGCTTCAAAGTTACTAGTCAGTTGTAAAATTGGCAAGGCCTTTGAGTAAAAGGAGGAGACTATGGAGCTCCCAGGGGATGTATAAGGGAGCTAACACTGTTAGCACTGCATCTGACCCATGATAGAGAGCCATAATTGTTGACATCTGTAGCAGGGCTTAAGAACATAATTTGATCTGATAATTTCAGGAAAAATGGAACATAATTACACAAATACTCCCATTATTTTGTGTTGCCCTGTGCCTGTGAAAGCAAGCACAGATGAGACTTTTTAAAAGAAATGTTTCAATTCCATGGAAACTGGTGATAAATGATGTGTGGGAAGATTTCTTATATGCTGTGGGTGACCCCACTCTCTGTAGTCCTGCTGCTGTTTGGTCTCTGCAGACCTTAAGGCACATTATGTCTTGGTTGCTTGTTTTATATGCAGTAGTTGAGAGTGACACTGTGCAGATATTAGAAAAGCTTCACAGAGTGGGTTTGTATTATGGTACCTGAGCAATTTTTAGTCTCTTGTTACCACATATGAAGCCAATATGGATTGTAAAGCACACTCAGCTGCTTCTGTATTTGCAACAGAACTGAATTTGTCTTTTAAGTTTTCTGAATAAACTCTGTAAACAATCAGCATTGCACAGTGCAAAGAACATCAGGTAACTCTGCTGTCATCCCTTTATATTTCATGTTGCCTTTGTAATGTAGACATTACCTTGAAAGGCTCTAATTAATATAAATGTAATTACTGAGTGCTCTTTGACATTTGTAACTTTGAAATATTTAGTTGGAAAAACAAATGCCTGTTTTCAAATTGGCTTCTTGAGGTGTTCTTGCCTCTGACTACGTCAAACTTTGTCCTCAAAACCTTTTATAGTACAATGACTAACTTCTGCAATGATTTATGATCCTTAGAAATTCTGTAGCTCGGGTAAACTGAAAAGATAGTACAGCTACTGTTTGCTTCCGTAAGTCTGTTTATTTATTGGCGTTATCTAGTTCATGTTTCATGGGAGGGGCTGTTCCCAGTTTTTTGTGAATAATAATATATTTTAAGATTGTTTAGTCAAGAAAGCAGTTTTACAAAACCCAAACTAAACAAAACCCAAACTTTATAAACTTCATAAAGGCGTTACTTTTGTATTGTCACAGTTGAACAGGAACTTAAATTTATTTCTTAAGGAAACTGAAAGCAGTTTTATAGTTTGTGTGTTGTCCTGACCAGTGAAGTATCAGCTGCTTCTGAGAGAATATGGAAATCCTTTTGTAATATTGCCATTTGTCTTGTACATCAGAATAGATCTGTTTTATGTATAGCTGGGCACAAATGATAACACTATTCAGGCTGACCTACTCTTCAGTCTTTTTATTACAAAAGTGCTTACTGTGGAAGTTAATGAAGCACTAAATGAAGATAGCCTTGAATTAGATTTCCTATATTGACAGTGTATCTGTAAATGCTTACCACTTTTAGGAGATGCAAAAATTTTGTGGGTCAATGTGTAGATTCTGTAATACTCATTGAATACACAGTGTTGTAGAGTAGCGCTTCAGCTTCATACAGCCTCTGATTTCTGAGCTGTTGACTTCTGTACTTATGATGTCATACACATAAAGGGATACAAAAGAGACTAACTAGTAGAAGATACTCAAACTCTGGAGTTACTTCAGTAATTAGAGAATTGATGAGTGGTCAGTTGTTTGTCAGCCATTGCTCAAGCACTTCAGTAAAATACTTCAGTGGCATTAAGAAACAACTATGTGATATGGATGTAAGCTGATGTAGGAAAGTAGAGATTTGATTTGAAAGTAGATTTAAACAGAATTGACCAATATGTGGAAAGTTGTCTGCTCTTTTTTCTTGACACAAATAATGTGCGTGTATTTCTGTTGTGCTTTGTTTGGGATCTTTTGCAATGACAGTTTGCTTGTTTTAAGTCATAGATTTTATTTATTTTGAAGCTCTGTTTATCAACATTACAACATTAGTAACTTAACAACTTTTCTTCATATTTTTATCACAAACTCTTCATGGTACTTTTTTTTTTTTAACATCATGCATCCTCTCTTTAGATTTTTAGGGCATATTTGATATGTAAGTTTTACAGTAGTAGATTGATCTGGCATTTCAAGAGTTTGGGTGAGAGTTCAGAGAGTGCCGGGACATGGTGCTGTAGACCAGAAATCTAAATTGGAAGAGAAAAAGTAAAGAATTTATTTTTATATCATGGCTTACTGCTGTAGCAGCTTGACTCTTTACATTAACATGTCAGTATATTTCTAACTGAATTATTCCATGGATACAGTTAGATAACATACTAGCTGACCTGTTTGATGTATTTGATTATGCTGTAAAAATATAGAAAAATAAGAGAATGCTGAGGTTATGGAGGTCAGGTGAGGTTATCACCTGCCCATCCTCACTCCTTTTTCAGTCCCTCCAGCTTCTAACTAGCAGTCCTAGCAGTTTCACCTGGATTTGATGGGGAGGAGAGAGGGGGTTTTAAAGGTATTTTTAAAGTACTTCTTGGTTTGCAGAAAATTAGCGCTTGTATCAGAGGTCATATGACACAGAGTGAGGGCAGATTCATGCCCTCACTAATGACAGGGTTGCAGCTTTAGTTTAAGTTGCTTGTTCTTTTTGACTCAGTGTTAGCTGATCACTATGTATCACCCGCCTGTGCTGTGTTTTGCTCTGAGAACAGCTGTGGGGAACAGGAGGGAGGAAAGGAGGTGAATAGGAAGCAGGTGAGGGTTTCATGGGTGATACAGTCAGAGGAAACACTGAGGAGGTGTTGAATGTCAGCAAAGATAATTTATGGGAGACAAGTTCATTAGCTCAACAGCTAAGCTGCTGAAAGATGTAATGTCTTTTTGATGATGATTTCTGTTATTAGCATCTGAGAATACATAACCTAGGCTGGTAAAGAATGAACAGGCAGTAGCTGAAACTTGTTTCTAGTTTACCTTTGGAGAGATGGAAAACTTAATTTTCCCTTTCCATACAATTCTAACATATAAGAGAAGGTGAACACTAAGAGGGATATCAGTAAAAAGATGTATGCCTCTGTTATCTGAGTACACATTTTGAAATCTTAAAATAAAGAAGCAGTGTTGCAGAATATTTACAGGGTTCTTATATTTTTATTGAGTAGGAAAGTATTATGCAACATGGCAAATTCTTTAGATTTATTTCTCAGTTGTTTTCTTCCATCACCCTCTGATGTGACTTGGCACCTTTTCGGATCTGGGGTATTGATCTTTGGTAATGACAGTATTAATGCAGATTAGTTAATTGAGTTGATTTGGTATAACAGGGTTATTTTGTTGTTGTTTCTTCTTATGGTCTTTAGAAAACAGTCAGATAGACTATCTTTGTGTTCATTGTTATTCTTTTGAAGTTCCCCAGACCAATTTACTTACTATTTGGTCAGGTCAAGATTTCTGTTTTGCTGAATGCTAAACAAATACACATATCTGTGTGGATTACCAGGTGTAAACTGGTGGGTACCAAGACACCTGTGAAGCTTATGGATGTTCATAGTTGAATCACTCTGTATGCAAAGTCAAGGAGCCAAGATGTTTTTGGAGTGCCCCCTTTTATGTGGTATTGTGAGTAGCTTTTTTTCTCTTTTGATCATGTGCTGTTTATTTTGGAGTCTTTCAGTCTCTGTGTCAGTCGGAGGGCAATGCCACCTCAACTGGTGGAGGAGATGATGTAGGAGTACAACCAGGTCACAGATGGAGATCATGGATCTTCTCTCAACTCCTTCTCTGAATGTCTGAAATGAAAGAAAATCAGTGCTCTGCATCTGAATGGATGCTGTTCTCTGGCTTCAGTATTTCTTCCACTGGGATTTAAAAATTAAATACCTGAAAGTGAGAGTGTTTCTCCTTCTTGAGTAGGTAGCATAACCTGACTGAAATAGCTACTGTATTGTCTGTCTTGTTCTCTGATTCCAGTGATTTTGCTTCTGCAGTGAAATACAGAACTAGAGAATAAATTTTACTGGTTTTATTGAGAATTAAGTAGAGAATAATGAGCCTTGTTAATAACCTGGTTTAGTTATGATTAAATTGTCTATATGGTCTGTACTGTAGATCCAAAGCAAGGTTTCACTTATGTCTTTATGCAAAGTGACTTGGTTGGGGCTTTTGATTAACTCATACAGAGCTGCAAGATCAAGGACATAAATGCAGTGCAGCCTGCCGGTATGTCAACCTGTTCAGCAGTTGCTAACCATTCTGAAAACTTTTTGAAGAAGAGTAAAGGTGTGAGTGTTTAAAAAATAAAATTAAGCGAGATATTTCTCTGTGCTGATTCTGTGATTTTACAGCATGAATTGACTTAAATTAGGTATAGGCACTTTTCACTTAAAATATAAAAAGTAGTGGTAATAAAATACTAACCATGGTAGCCTTTGGACATAGAGGGAAGAATGGGCAGTGGTAAGGAGATGTCTACTTGAATTGAAGAGGGAGATTATAAGAGTAAACTCTACATTATGTTTCAGGTCTACTTCAGTGCTACTATTTCTAATGATTATTCGTGTTTGCCTGGGCACTTCACATTTTGCCAGGCATCACAAAGGCCATCAATTTGGAAAGCTATAATTGTTCGCTATTAAAAATTTTCCCTGAGCTGTAACTTGTGTTTCAAATGTTTGGCTTTACTGAGTGTCAGCTAAGTCGCAGGTTCTGAGTGAGCCCCGTGTTTCAGAAGCAGGTGAACCAAGGGGTGTAGCTGTGGTGGGGTGTGGAGTCCAGCCAGGGTGTCAGTAACTCTCCAGGCCTCTCTCAGCTCTCAGGTGTTACTGTAGCTGCCTGTGCAGGTGCTGTGAGGCTTTCCAGCAAATACTGCAGTATTACACGAGAATTTTAAAGTGATGTTGATATTGCTTCTGTTCCAATTAGTTGAAAGCCTTTCTGGGCAGTTACTGATTTCTTAGTCTTACTGTTTAATTACTTCTGTAATGTTCTGCTTTTCATTGGGCACAAATAAATCTACATCTTAGAAATGAATGTGCCAGTGGAGGTCCTCAGACAGTGGTTTATTACTCTGTAGCACTTTCATGCAAGCACATGGTAAATTAGTGTTTGCCCTTTAACAAAATTAATATTCTTCTAAAACTAACATAACACTTAAATCAACCTTTTTATGGTCAGTGAAGAGTCTGAAGTAAGTGAGGTCATTGTTTTTCTGTGATAATGCTGTTTTCTGTGGTAGCACTAAGATGTTAAATTTGAGGTTTTTAATTCTCTGTAGTTACAGGAACTCAACAGTAGGATCTCTTAGACAGTAGGCTGCGTTGGTGTTCTTTGAGTGCTGACCTTGATGATGTTGATATTTGCATCTTCATAGAAGGTGCAAAGCTGAATTTTGCATTCAAAAAGTTGTTCATTTTCCTGGTGTAAAGAATACGGCTTGTTCTATCTCCAAATAAATATACATGCTGTTCAAGCACTAAGTGTATTTGAAAATTTACAGTTATGTATCTTAACAATTTAATTAAAGTAATTCCTAAAAATTCAGTCCTCTAACAGAACTTTTTTTGATTCAATTTCATTTTATTCATTCTGAAGGAAAAAGGTCTTGAGTGTAAAAAGAAATTATTTTTTCAGATAGTTTGACACGATTCAAAAGTTATTAACGCTAGGGCAACCTGGATATATAACAAACTATGATAAAAGGTTTGTAAAGTTCATATGATTTCCACAATAAAATTAATCTCTCTTCTTACATGTTGTGACAGTAACTTGTTTGCTAAATAATATCTTTTAAAAGCACCACTTGCACACTAATAATTTTACGATCTCTGGCTAGCAATGGCTTCTGAATAGTAAGATTAGAATTTCTTTTGTCTGTAATGCATTTGATTCAGTGACTAAACCCTGCCAGACACAGCGCAGGGATGAACATGTTTAGCTTTCTCATCAGTCTTCTAAACTGTGAACTTATATTATTTATTATCCACATTTTAACTGTGTTTAAATGTTACTTTTGCTACTTTGCAAGGACAGTTTGCTGAGCCATTTTGCATTTTCTATGTTAGTAACAACACTTTTACCATTTCTGTCTCATAAAAGGTGAATACCATGTTATGTTTTCACATGTACATGATAGAAATTTCTGTCTTTTTCCCTTGACTCTTTAGTCATAGTTTTTGTAGTGTGGTTTTGCTTTTCTTTCTTTTACTGCAGTGTTTGGCTTCTGGTTATAAGTTTTGGTTTTGCTCTGTTCCTTGCAAACTGATGTTTTCCTTATTTTTCTGAAGTTGGGAGGGGTGGTATATTGTTCTTACCATTTTGAAATGGAACCTTTTTTTAGTTGTGAGGTTGTGGGTTTTAGAATATTATCTAAATGTTCTCACACACTTTCATCTGTTACTTAAAAGTATGAATTCTTTCTCTTAGTGAATTGCTCAGAATTGATTTCAAGTAGGCTTTACTTAAAAAGCTACAAAAAGGATGCATAAATATTAGTAGTCTTCATTTGCATAGATGTGTTTGTGCTATTATTTTATTAATAACAATTATAAACATCACCGGAACCTGAGAGACCACTAGTTTTAGATTCTGTTATCCACTCCCAGTAGATGATCAATTCCTATGATCGATTTTGTATCAAAATTAGCAAATACCATGAGACTCCCAAGTACAGTTCTATTACTTTTTAGTTAGAAAATAATACATAATTTTTAGAAGTTCCAGAAATTTTTTAGTGCTGGTAGCCCAATGCTATTGTTATGGTGCAGCTTTGCGTCCCCTAGATTTCTAGCGCTTGATAAATTGTTGTGCAAGGAATTAGTCATCCCCGTGGTAATGTAGTTCCTCAGTAGAAAGTGACTACTTGCATCATCATCTGCTTTGTGAGTTAGACCACTGAGTTATAAAGAATAAGGAAAATATAGTTGTCTCTGCCTCCAGAATAAACTCCTTCCATTCTCCACATTTTACTCATTCAAGTTATTTGGCAGTTAGTGACCTTTTAGTCATACTATTGAGACTAGATTATATGTGTACTAATTTATAAGCAAACTTGGAATTTTTCGTGCCCTGGTATTTGATTTGTTCTCAAGAACTCAAATATTCTCACTAAGAAGTTATCATTTGTCCACTCATGAACTTCCTTTTTATTATCAGTTTAAAATTCATCTTATTATAACTTGGCTATATTTTTAGAGACATTGCTTTTCCTATTGGGATGGAAAGGAAGCTAACTAGACTAGTTTTGTTCCAAAGGGAGAATAATGCTTCATGAAGTGCTTCTCCTTCATATCTTATTTACTGATTTGGGGGCTAAGAAAGGTGATTAATTTAAAGAACTTGGGAATTTGGTCACCTTTTTTCTGATGGTAATAGAGTAAGGGTACTTTAGACCATTTAGGTGGTTTTTTGTGTCTATTTTGCAGATTTATTCTGTAAAGTTCACGGAAGACATAATGTAAGTGTGACCCTTGTTGTCCAGTTGTTTAGTTGTTGCCTACTGATGTCCGTGTAATAGTCAAGAGGTGTTTATTAACCTTTATCAAGATTTAGGAAGAACAACTCTTCATTTAAGTTCTTTTATTGGACGAAACGTAAGATTTCTGAAAGTGTGTCTCTTCTCTCCCTTTCAGCCAAGTGGATCTATCTTGCTTACTTACTGGACCAACTATATGGCCATGCCACATTTTTGAGTAGATGTTTTGCAGGGTTTGGGAAGAGTTTGTGGAAATGACCTCCAGCTGGAGTCTGAAGGGAAAGCAGTAACTCCCCACGGGAAATACTGTAACTATTAGTTGCTTTTTGATAATCTGTTTCAGTAACCGCTTTTCTGTGTCTGAGGCTACTGCCATGCAGAGCTAACACATATACTAGTGAATGTAAATTCACGGGGAAAATGTTAATTACAGTCAATGTTGTCTTACTTACATGATTGCAGTTACCTGTCTAGGTAGTCGTAGTGACAAAATACAAAAATTGCAGAAATTTAGTAGGTCAGTGTAAATGAACTTTGTGTCAGCACTGCATGTTCTTGATTAGGGAGGTGGCTGCTGCAGCTGCAGTCCGTAACTGTTTTTTGTCTTACAGTGATGTTGAATAAAACACTCAGTGCCTTCAAAACATTTAGCAGATAAACCTTGTTTTTTAAAGATAAGTGGGGTGGTATATTATTTTTCCTTTTCTCCCCCTAACTTAATTTAAATACAGTTAATGAACATGCTGATGTGTAAAATTAACCCTGTTACATGAAGCTCATTCTTCCTTTGTAGATTGCTGTCTTAATTTGTGTTGTTTGTTTATCTCTTTATTTTTAACAATCCAGAAATTCAGCTGGAGTGATTACTAAAAATAGTAATGTATGTAGCAAGGCATTTCCTTTTCCTGGGAAACTGCGTGATTCCCTTGCAAAATCAGAAAACTACATCTGTTTGAAACGCTGCAATTGGCAGATGGTGTGGGGGGAGGGAAGAAGAGAGGAAGGATTTGGTGGAATGTAGTCCTAAAAAAAAAGTCACACTGTATCAAAGAGGAGATAACTGATTCCTTTTAACTATTTTGTACCTTTACAACATAAAATGTGTCTATGAAGTTGTTTTGAAACTTTTAAAATGTTACTTCTGTGCAAGTTGAGAACTGTCTGACAGCAGCAATATTTATTAAACCAATGGCAGTTTAGAAAATGAGATCTCTGAAAGTACCACTTTAATTTCCTTACTGATTGTCTTTCAATTATATGATATTTGAAAGCAGGTGGGAAAACATTAAAAAAGGTTTCTGTTACTTTTCTTAGGTTTTCAGTACTTACTCAAATGAAGACTATGATAGACGTAATGAAGAAGTTGACCCTGTGGCAGCCTCAGCTGAGTATGAACTTGAGAAAAGAGTGGAAAAGATGGAAGTGTTTCCTGTGGAAATTGAAAAAGGTGCAACTTAAACTTTAAACTTTTGTAATAGATACTGTGTGAACAA